TTATCTTTAAATATTATCATTACTGGTCACCTCTGAGACAATGCCAATAAGCACGAACAATATTTGGCTTTCTTACACAGTAATTAACTATATAGTTGCTTTCAAGATCATACAAAAATAATCTACAACATATTTCATTAATATAATATCTACTTAAATACATGAATTTTAGCTTATAGAGGAAGGGACATTGTTTTTCTTAGAAATTTCTATTTTCTATTGCTCTAGAACTCATTACAGTGAGAAATTTTTGGGGAGGTTAGGTAGTCAATAGTCTTTAATGAATGAGTCATTTCATTTTATATTCATATTAAGGCCTTCCATTTTTTTTTTTTTTCAGTGAAATCCAAATTACTTATTTAAACAATTTAAATAATGAAGTAAAAACAATTTGGAAAATATTCTATATGTTACAAAGTTAAAAAAATGATTAGAACTTTTGGTCTCTTAAATTATTTACAGAGTAGATTTTCAAAGTAATTCAGAATTATTGTTTATAGTTTTGACAGATTTATTGCACTAATATTTTGTTTTACTTTAATAGATTACTAAAATTGGATGATAATATGACTATAAGTATGACCAAAGTTTAAGCACTTAGAATATGTGATGGAATGAAATTAGTGGTTTGCAAAATTTTCCTATGTATTTCAGTTGTAGTAATATAACCCCAACTCAAATGGACTAAACTGATATGTAATTTATTGCCACATAAATCAGGGTGTTTAGAGGTAGTCTTTGCTCCATGCAGAGTTGGCTATGGTAGTGGCTATTTTAAGTCTCTCATTTCTACATTTACTTGTATTTTCGCTTTGTCATAGTGTTAAATTTTTATATTTTCAAGGTGGTCTCCATGAAGACATGATGTAAACAGTGTTTTTCGATGTCACTGTAGAATTTCACTATGTCACTTGTCTTTAAGACCACTAATTGGAGGTCAAGTGTCACTCAAGTTTGGAGTTTCTGAGAGAGTTCTTAAAAGAATCAAAGTACAAATGTATCAAACATATTTTGAAAAAAATCATCTGTGATCAACCAAAGGGGGTAGAAATATATTTTAATGAACAGAAAAGAATGATAGTTTAAGAGTTGTAGTGAGGATAGAATATCAGAAGATGTGAGAAAGTTAGCTCAGCTATTTGTCCCTCCACCACTCACTGTTAAGGTATAGATTGACTTACCTATGTTTATCTACCCTGGTTTGTAGTTCATATTAGGATCTCTATATTATAATTCCAGGTCTCTCTCTCTAGTTTCAAAGCTAATAGCTGCATTCTCAGTCTGTTTCTTCAGCATAGGGCAAGGAAACAGCTCCCACTGTTTCTAGTCACCAGATGATTAATCATACATTGTTGGTTTTCCTTAAGTCTTCTCACACCTTTCAGTCTTTTCATTTAACTCCTTCAAATTACTCTAAGGGGACCATCTGTTTCCTACCAAAATCTTAGCAGATTCCCTTTTAGCATTAAAACTCACAAGTATTCTAAATTATTTCTTTCATGTTTTGCAATTACTGTACCTCACAAATTCCATTGTATTTTCAAATTATTAACTAACATACTGGTCAAAACCAAAACATCCCTCAGCCATTTTAGAGAATCTCCAAAGTTATTTTTACCTGTCTAGTGACTACAAGACATCAATTGTCCTTATTCTTCCTCCAGCAGATTCCACTGAGCCCCATCTGCTTCCAGCACTGCTGCCTCTTATGATTTCCTACTATGATTTGGTGCTCTTAAAAATAAAATTTTATATCAAATTTCCAGGCATGAAAGCTTTCATTCCTCTGGATTTTAAGGAAGATGCTAATTTGTAGACATAATTAAAAAATAACTACCTTTTAATGCTGTGCTGCTGTGTCATTAGGCACCATGTAATTACTCATACCTATTGTTTTACTGTCTCTCTCAGGACATGATTTGTTTGAGTCCCTCTCTCATCTAATCATAAGCGCTTACATCTAATCCACACATTCAAGCAGAGAAACTGATAGCATCATCACTTCTCTATTATTCTCCTTGACACTTTCCCCATCTTTTTTCCCCCCACTCTCCTAGATTTAGAATAGAAAAGTAAAAGTTAGGTTTGCAATGAATGGTTAAGCTAGCAGACACATTACCGAAAGATTCCTGAATTGCAGCTATTTGAGCTCAGTTTGTCTTTATTAATTCTCAAAATGTGGTCTTCAGATCAGCTATATTAATATTACTTAGAAGGGCACATTTGCAAATCTACCACAGACTTAACAGACATTAGAAACTTTAGGGGTAGGGAATAATGATCTGTGTTTTAAACAGTTCTATGAGAGAATCTAATGAAGCTAAAGTTTCTGATTTAGAAAAACTTACCCGCTAAAATAGAAATTTACAGATAATATTTTTTAACAGAAAACATCTAGTTGAGGGACTTTATTTTTCTATTATCAGTGTTCACTTAATATCACTATAAGACAACAAAAATAAATCCCAAGACTATCTTTTTTTACCATTTTTTAAAACATCATGATTTAATAATTTATGTTGGTTACATCTCCATTATGTCAGTGATGTCACTGTCACTGGTAACATTGGTAGGGAGGTCTGAGTCTTAGATATTCTGTTACTTTGTTCCAAATTTTATCACACATTGATTTCTAAGGCTAAGGTGTTCATTTGTTATTTAAATTGGGCTATGTTTTACTTCCCCCTTGTTGAAGCCATTTTCTTTTTTATTTGCCTATTACTGGTTTATATTTTATGCTCTATCAGTCAGGCACCCAATTTAACCAAAATAAGGGTACTGTTTTTAATTAAGTAGATTTGAGATTCATAAAATGTTTGTCATGTTTTTAGAGAATATGGATAATCTTAAAAATTAGAATACACATAGTGTCTTATATTAATTTCATGAGTAAATTTACTTCAAAGTTCTTAAAACTGACATATTCTACCCATCCAAGGGAAGCCTAATGATTTTCTACAACCTTTATTCTAACTAAAACACGTTCAATAATCTTTCCAGAGCAAAGATTTTCCATCATGTTAAAGTAAAATCTATTAATTAATAATAGAACAACAAACAGGAATTGGGACAATCCCACTACTGACCTGTTTTTACTCTTGATGATAAAATTAAAACAACAACAACAATAAACAAAAAACAACCTTCTAGACTACCAGAATGTCACTATTAATGGCCAATGAAAGCATCATACCAGAAAACAAACAAAAATGAAATCAATATTACAGATGAGCATGCATTTTGCTATCCACAGTTTTCAAAGTTGAATATTTTTCTACATAGATTCACCAATATACTAGAGCTAATAAATAGGCTAAGATCTAGAAAGTATAAAACAAAAAGGTCTTCAAGATATTTTAGAGGATTATAGTTGGGTTTATTGGGAACTAATGTAACATTAAAAGAAAAAATGTTTGACTGAATAAGTTAGATCTTCAAGATCTAGGTTTAATGATGAGGCTTCTCTTCATTCTCTTTTGAAATGCCAGATGTAAAAGTTGAGTATGTTTTTTAAGCTTTATATTTAGTTATTACTAAAATGGGAATTCCTTTGAAAATATACTTCATTGTACATCTAAGTTGTTTATGCATATTCCAAGCTTATTTTAGTGTGTTGTGAAGCTTTCCTGTGCCAAAGTTTTTTAATTTTCTGCTTTTATGAATATTCTAAAATTTTGAGGCTGTTTACTACCCTTCGGTAATGTCCAACAGAACTTACTTTACCAGCCAGATAAAAGTCATGCAAGCATGAAGAGTACAAACTGTACTTCTTAATGGTGGAGAAAGTATCTATAAAGCTATTTATAATGGACTAGAATTTTAGGCCCAGATAACTAGGTCATTTCTGTCACTTAAAAAAGGTCAATTTTTAGCTAATTCTCATTTAAATAAAGCTGTTTCCTAAAAGTTTGCTTAAAAACCCTAATTAAAAGTTGCCAGATGTGGTATGTGAACTGTAGGAGAGGATGGCTTCCCTAAACTGTCAAAAATATATTAATATTATATGTGTGCAATAGAAATACCACTGAGTGCTTACATTCATCTAGCCTTTCTATATCTTCAAATATCATTGAATTATTTTAACTATCCCAATCCTAATTGAATCCTCCATTATAAAATAAAAGATATGGTTTATAACTGAACACATAAATTATGTATGAGAATTAAATATGTAAAACTACTAATATTAAAATCACACAAATCAAATAGAATACTGGCAGCAAATAAAATTTAAACATAAAACATAAACATCATTTTATTTTTGTCCACATAACTTTAAACTTTGCTTTAAAAACAGGAGGTGAACTAACTATACCTGCAATGATAATCTTTCCCACTTTTCAAACAGGTGGCATTCTTGCAATAAATGACTCAAGTGGTGTTCGGAGTCTTTTACAAAACTTGTCTGTGCATACAGATGAACAGTTATATATAACATCCTAGAGAAAAAAAATAATAACTACATTTTTAGGGCTTTCTCTGGTAGCACAACGGATTAAAGCACTGCATTATGAAGCTCTGAAGCTCTCCTAAACCAGTGCAGCATGAGTTCTATCCCTGGCCAGGGAGCTGACCCACATGGCATGGCAGAACTCTTCTGGCCCACCCACTGCTACTCTCAGCAATTTGTCAATCTGCCTGTTCTGCTCCCCACTCTATCTGTAGTGAGTCCTCTCACTCACCACACCTTTGACCTGTACCCCAGTTATGTAAGCCTAAATAAATTCATCTTTGAAAAAAATAGATTTTTTAAAGAAATTTAAAATAAATACAAGCATTCTTTCCTAGAGAAGTACAGAAATGATTCCCATAAGAATGTAGTGCAAGTTTTCTGTACAGCAATGCTGAAGATGCTATTTTTTAAAATGTCACAACGTCTCTCATCTCACACATTCTTCCTACTGTTTGAATACAAATCTCTAATTGAGAGTGGGGATTATATGTTATCCCCTAGAATGTAAACCAGTTGTGACTATGGAGAGGGTGATATTTGGTGACTTTCAAGGCTTGGCATAAAGTCGCACAATAGCTGTATAATTATGCTGGGGCACTTGCTGTGGAACCCAGCTGCCATGTGGTGGGGATGTCCAGATACTCGGGGACAGTGCAGGGCTACAGCTGGGGTCCGGCTCACTGTCTGCGTCACCGCCAAGAATGTTAGTGAGGAAGCTTTGAAGATACATTTGGAATTTTATTGGGAATTTAAATAAGAATGTTCCTAAAGGTAAAAGGCTTTGATGTATGACAGTGAATTATTTCGTAGTCCTATTAATGAAAAGGTTTGAAGTAGGGCCCTCCCTGGTGGTGCAGCCGGTTAAAACACAGCACTAAGAAGCTAAAACCACTTCAGCGCGAGTTCCATCCCCACCCCAGAGGTGATCCACATGGTGCAGCAGACCCCTCCTGACCCACCCACTGCTCCCCTCAGCAGTGTACTTCATCAGTGGGTCTGTTTTGTTCCCCACTCTGTCCCTGTTGAATCCTCTCACCGCCACTGCACCTCTCGCCTGTACCCCAGTTCTATATGCATAAATAAATAAATATTTTTTTAAAAAAGGTTTACAGTATAAAAATATTCAAAGAATAAAAGAAAAAACAATGACTCGAATTTTACAGTATTGTATTGTTTACAGGGAAAATGCCATCGAAAAAGAAAAGATTTTTGAAATGGGAGTTTCTATTTAAGATGACCACAAACAAGTTGCGTTTTTGACATTCTGAGTCTGAAAAGCTTAAATTGTTAATGAGAATGTTGTTTGAATTTTGAAAGTGTTTTAATAGCAACAATTCTTTGAAAACCACTGTCCTATAGTTTAGATAGAGACTTACATTTGGAATATCAACATAGTCAGCACCGTGATGATGGGGGATTGATGAGAACACATTGGCAGCAGTTTTGTGGTTTTTTTTTTTTTAAGATTTATTTCATTTATACATCCAAAGACTGGGGTAAAGGCCAGAGATAAGTGGGGGGTGTATGTGAGGGTAACAGAACAGGCTAATCTACTAAAATACACTGCTGAAGTGAGCAGAGGGCATCACAGGAGAGGTCTGCTGTGGCATGTGGGTCACCTCCCTGGCCAGGGATGCAGTGGCTATAGATAGCTTCATTGTGTTGAGACCTAATCACTTGTGCCACCAGGGAGGTCCAATGTCATGGTTTTGACCGAAAATGTTTCTAGACATTCACAAATGTAAGCAGAACTTTTATTCTGGCAAATTCTTTCTTCTCAAAAAGAGAGAAAAATAATTTCTGTTGAGTCTTTGTAGAACAGACCTTAGAAGACCAAAGAAATAGAAGAAAATGAACATAGATATGTAGCAAAATTCAGAGAAAACAAATCTCTAGAATTAAGTGTTTTTAACAGGTGTAATTTATATACCATAATTTATATGAAATTTATGTATAATTTATATACCATAGGATTCATCTAAACCAACTATGTAATTCAATATATTTTAGAAAGACACAGAGTGGGATTCACAAACAACACTACCCAGTTGTAGCACATTTCCTTTACCCAAAGAAAAATTCTCCTATGGTCCTAAGTCCACATCCTGGAAACCTTTATATTTTATGTAGAAAATAAAAAGTCAAAATAAATAAAATACATGTTTGGCTTCTTCTACAACCATCGAATTCCCCAAATATATAAATATATTCCTTGTGGATATCTGTTCTGGCAGCTTCCAAAGTAATCTACTGGGTAAAATGAGTGAACTGTGAAATACACATTATTTAGCATTTATTTTGAAATGCTGCAAAGAGTTGCAAAGACAGTTCTGAGCAACTTCAGACATGGCTGCCTCTTTTATCTCTAATATAATATGGAAACTAGGACAATTGCATTAATACACGTGTGCTATTGGATCTATGTCAGTGTACCTCAACAGTAACTTCAAATAGCCAACATCTGTGCCAAAACACTAATTATTCCTCACCACACATACTTCCTGCATGCTACCCTTTTATAGTTTTATCCCTCTTTCTCCTACCATTTTCAGCTCCTGGAAATTCCATTAATATATAAATGGATATATAAAATGTGCTTTCTTTAAACTTGTTTTTTCTCCCACTTGTTATATTGTCTCCTAATTCCATTGCATGCCTATCCATGCAATGGAATTACCAAAGGAAAAATAAATGAGTCAAGAAATAGATACAAAAACATGATTTGATTGTAGAATACACCTTCTAGACAGAACAACAGTGGCTGAATGAAAGATGGAGTTGGTTTTATTCTGCTACCTAGTGCAGTTGATATAGAAGTTTGATACTAGTCTGAATCTTTTGGTAAATTGTCTATTACTTTGTTATTTTTTGCAATTGCTTTATTGTTAAGCCCTTCTAGTATTTTCTAGAAATTTTAACATTTTCTCCATGTGTTTTCAGAATGATATCTCTTTGTTATCAATCTTGTTTAATATTCTCCTTATTCCTTTGATCTTTCTTCAGATCTTATATATTTTTTTCCTACTCTATTTTCACTCATTTTCAGCTTCTAGTTCTAGCTGCTTACATTTAGAATGTCTATTATAAAAAGGGTGATACTTCTGCAATGTATCTTCTAAAAGGCAAGATTCCATTTATTTATTTATATTTGTTCATGCCATTTGTTTTATTATTAGGGAGATACACCCATGAAAACACCAATCACTATACATACTATTTTGAAGTCAAATGTGTGATTGTTACACTGATGATCATGAGCTTAATTTTCAAGAAATCTAAAATGTTTAATAATTACCACTGAAGATATTGAAATTTTATTTTTTCCTCAACTAGCTTAGCTTCCTCTGGATTTCGTACTTGTCTTTTATGAGTTTAGAATTTGCTCTTGAAACAGTGGTAAATGTAGCTTTCTGAGTAGCACTGCACTCTTCTGATCTCAAGGTTGCTCTGAAAAGTAAAGCAAGGCAGGACTACTGACAGCTAATTTTTTTCAGGGTGAAATCTGAGATTTCACCTAAAAGTTCATAAACTCTGATCTGCATCTCTATTATATTATTTTAGGGTTTTCTTTCGTCAGGATGCTCATTTCTGAGATTAAGTCATCAGTTCCTCCTTTTTCCCATTCACCACTATCAAATTAACCACTACTCTCTTTTTTCTGCTTCTCTGGTAATGAACATTTTGCTGTTGTTGTTGTGTTTTGCTAGTTCATTTTTCTCTATTTACCACATAGAAATGAAACTTCAGTATTTTACCTTCTTATTCTGACTTATACTACTTGTTATAATCACCTCATATTTCATTCATGTTGTTTATAACAGGAATAATTCATTCAGTTTATGTACTACAGCTTTATTGAGTAGTCCTTTGATGGATACTTCGGTTGGTTCCATGTCTTGATTACTAAGAAAACTATTGTGATAAAGACTAGACTGTATATATATTTTAAAATAGTGTTCTAAGCATTTAATATTCTTTGAATAAATATCTTGAAGTGGGATTGCTGTATTGTGTGGTATTTCTTTTATTAAGTTTTTGAGAAATCCCCATACTGTTTCCCATAAGAATTAGGGCAGTCTACATTCCTAACAACAGTACACAAGGATCTCTACATCCTCACCTACACTAGTCTTTTTGATACAGGCCACTATCTTATTTCAGGAATGTACGCTTAAATCCTTTTGCTTTAAGTTCTGTGAGAAGACCATGGAACATCTTGTGTTGAAATTTGCTACAGTTATATTTATTTTTAAAAGGTCAGTTAACAAGTAGATTATAGATGAAGGGGAAGGAAAACTGAGCTTTTTTTTTTTTTAATTACTGTTGTGTTTCAGACATGGAATTATGGGGACTTGGTTAAGATCTTAATGAAGAAACTAGTGAAAATGATGAGACTTTAAATATGCATTGAAGATAAGTCCTGCTAGATTTGCTGATGAAGTTAAAAAATAATAAAGACAATTAGGTTTATTGTCATTGATGGGATCAAGCAGAAAAGTAAAGTTTTTTTTTTTTCTTTTCTTTTTCCTGAACTGAGCACATGAGACTTAAGGAAGAAAATTATAAATTCAGTTTTGAGATTTCTATAACATATACATGTAAAGATATCTTAGAGGTAGTTAATTACATTGAACTGGAGTTTAGAGGTAGGGTCTGTGAAAAATATTTGTAATTCCTTAATATATGGATGATATTTGTTTTTAAAAGCATTTATTTATTTATGCATACAAGAACTGGGGTACAGGTCAGAGGTCGGGGTGTGAGAGGATTCACTCCAGAGACACAGTAGGGAGCAGATTAGGTAGACTAACTGAAAAACATTGCTGAAGAGAGCAGCAGATGAGACAAGAGAGGTCTGCAAGACCATCTGTGTGAGCTCCCTGGCAGGGGATCAAACTCATGCTGTAGTGGCTGCTGATAAGTTCAGGGTGCTATGCATCAACCTCTTGCCCCACCAGGGTGGCTCAAAAATGGCTGATATTTGAAGCCAAGGGATTGGTTGTGATCTCTGAAGGGATAAATGTAGACAGAGAAGGGAGCTTTGATATTTAATCTTAGGTACAGGAATTATGGAGATGAAGAGCTACTTGAAAGTGATTAAGAAGAAACAAATGAATGACTGAGCAAGAGAAACAAGAGTGTATTGTGAAAAAAGTCCAGTAAGAAAAAAATTCAAAAATATAGTGTTTAAAATACTGCTAACTGCTAAAATAAGATGAGGGATTAGATCAAATTAACAGCTGGAATTAGCAATGGGGATTTCAATATTCAGTGACTGAGATTTTTCCTGGGGTGGAAGGATAAGCTTTTTGCATAGTTCAAAGGGGAATGAGACAAGTGTATATTACACCTGTCTATTCACAGTGTAGCCCTAACTAGTAGTCAGGGTTTCACGGTACTACACAGTTACTGACTGACTGTCTGTCTGTCTAACTACCTATCTTTCTAACTCTATATTATATGCAGAATTTGTGACCTTTCAGATCTACTATAAGAGAATATAATTTTTTAGCAAAATTCCCACAATTCATATTTAAATGATAGCATATAAAACATTAATTAAAATACAGATTTTAGTTTCAAGTTATGGAAAACTGCAATATGAAATAGCAACTATTGGGGGCAGTAGAGGTTCTAAGTGCATGCATACAAATATGGTATGGACGGATTAGGACACTGTAAAATATAGTGTTTTCAGATCTCAGTGGGCTCACTC